ACTGCTTTTTGTCGTACGGGTCTTTGTGTCATAGTGGATCCCGATAAAAAAAAAAAGTTTGACTTTTCAGTTACGCCGCGGTAAAACCGCGAAAGGCCGAAAGAAAAAACGCCAACATATTTGGGGTTTCGGTTACATTGTGTAACGCCGTCACACCTTGACATTGAAGTATGGTTTCACTTTAATGTTTTGTCAGACGACCCGCTTCCTTATTTATACATCTTACCGATACTGTGAATCGACGCGGGACACCTGCTTGATCTGATGCCAGATCGGGTTGCCTTAGCTTTCAGTTTCTATTATATCTCTCTCTCCCTCTCTCTCTCGGTTTCTCTCTGTCTCTCTCTGTCTCTCTGTCTCTCTGTCTGTCTCTCTCTCTGTCTCTCTGTCTCTCTGTGTCTCTGTCTCTCTGTGTCTCTCTGTGTCTCTCTCTCTCTCTCTCTCTCTCTCTCTGTCTCTCTCTATTCTCCTTTTATCTCTCTGAATCAACAAGGTTCAGTCTGGTAGTGTACCCTGGGCAGGGTAGCTGGTTTCTGTCCTCCGGTCCGATGTGTATCTCGCCGAAGTCTCCACCTCCTCCTCCTCCTCTGATCTCCAAGTGGAGGTGGAGGAGGTGGAGGAGGAGGTGGTGGTGGTGGTGGTGGGGGGTCCTGAGATTAAGGAGTTTCGGCGAGCTTCCCACTGCCAGGGCATTCTTCCTTCGTTATCCCGACTGCTGACTACTGGGCTACTAATCCGCTTTCATGGGTTTAGCCATTGTTTTCAGGTGCTTTGTGTGTTGTGGGTTTGTTTTGCATACTATACCAGCGGCTGGTGATGGTGGTGGGGGGGGTTGGGGGGGTTGAGGGGGGGGTGGATTATGGGCGCTACCGCTCAGTTTTGATAGCTTTCGCCAGCGAAACCGATAGCTTTAGCCTACTCCCGCTGCTGTTTTGATAGCTTAAGCCTCGGTTTCTGGTGCGGTTTTGTGTTGTGTGTTTTCTGCACGCTACTCCGGTGACTGGCGAGCGAGGGCGTCGCGTCGGACCGGGCTGCCGTTCTTCGTGATACAACGCAGATGGGCTTGGAGTTATGCCCTTCGTTGACGGAAAGCACGCCTCCTCCTCCTCCTACAGATACAGTAAAGGCATTAGGAGGTCCTGGGTGGGCGGGGTGCCGGGGTTACAAACCAGTTCCAGATGTCTTCTTCGGTGTAACGGAGGAGGCATAAGGTCACGATGAGGCCCAGCTGCCCCATGGGAAATGTAGGCGAGCGGCGGCCCCTGTGGAATCCACCGGCTCCTTCTCTCTTCTTGTACTTTAATTGGTTTCTCCGTCTTAATTGGCTTCCCCTTTATTGGTCTTCCTTTTGCAAATTTCAGCAGCAGCCACCCTTTATGGTCCGCACAGTCCCAGTCACATTAACGCAGAATGGTTCAGTGCAGAGGCCAGTGGCTCCAGTGAGTCGCTGTGTGTGTGTGTGTGTGTTGCTGTTGAAAGGGGGAGGCTCTGATGGCCGCTCGGATGAGATAAGATAGCACTTCGTTAACAGCCCCCCCCGGGGACACGCCGCCGCTGTTGCAGTTCGGCTCATTAAAAAGTTGACAATACAAAGTTAAGCGCGACTTAGACAAAGAGAAAAAGGACAACTTGACTTCTAGAGATTAAAAAAAAAGTCAAAAGAACTATTAAACCTCTTGATACATCAGTAGATATGCTGAGATACCAGATTTGATTAGTAATTCAAACTCAAATTCCTTCACTAATAACACCGACTGTATATTATCTGGTTACTGTTATTTATATATATTCCATTCCCATTCCTGCACTATTTATTTTTACTTTTTTATCGTAAATTCTAATGTGCCTTTTTAATGTTATTTGTTCTTTGCACTGAACCGGAGAGCTCTACCTCAATTTCATTGTACTTTAGTACAATGATAAAAAAAGATATTCTGATTCTGATTCTGATTCTATAGCATCTCTGCTCCCTTACTCCTCGTTCAGCGGATGCTAAAAACGAGCAATTGAACTTCGCCTCAATGGAGAGCAGTCTTGATGCATTCAATAAAACACACATATCTTATAAACATATATCTCTGTGTCCCCGTCCCCAGCGAGGAGAGCTACACGGTGATCGACTACGCCCTGAGAGACCAGATCTGGGTGGGACCCTGCCAGCCGGAGGACCTGTGCCTGTCCCCCGTGCGGACCACCGCCAGCATGCTGACCTCCCGGCAGCCCGGCGCCAGCCACCTCTTCCGCCTGCGTTTCCGTAGCAACCACTCCGGCGAGAAGGTGCCCATGATCCTGGGGGCCGAGTTGATGTGAGTGACTTCAAAAGGCAGCATAAATATTCATCTTCTTCTCCTCTCTCTCTCTCTCTCTCCCTCCGTCTCTCTCACCTCTCACCTGTATTTCTATTTTTATACGTCTTGTCCGTCTACAGACCTCTGTCGTCCTTTTTCGCTTTCACTTGTCATGTCGTCTCCCCCCCGCACAAAAAATACGATAGAATAGCTCGAAAAATAGTCGTTCCATGTTATCCATCTTATCACGTCCAGTTCATCCCTCCCTTCCCCCCGAAGCTCCCCCATTTCCTCCCTCTTTCCCAAAGCCTTTTATGAAACAATCTCCTCTACTTATTCCCCCCCCCCCGCCCCGTCTGCTCCCAAACCACAAAACACTTTTATTTTGAAGTTGTGTATAAAAAAAAAAGAAAAAAAGCCCCACCTGCGTTGCCGTGGCTTCCTCCCCGTCTTTTTGTTCTCCCTGCCTCACACACTCATTACCGTGTCACACGAGTATTGTGTTACGTCTTTCATCGGAAAGGCCGCTCGCCTCCCCCCCTGTAATTGGTAGCCGGGGGTTTTAAAATGTTGGTTATTGTAGGAAGTGGAGGCTTATGGCCTCGGCGTTCATCGCTCTTTGAACACAGACAACAGTGTGTACACGCGTGGAGACCGAGGTGTCGACCGAGGTGTCGACCGACATGATGAGGATGATGGGGGTGGCGGCGGTGGGGGGGGGGGGGGGGGGGGATGCGTTGTAGTTCTGTCGGGTTCATGGCGCTGATAGGTGCTGCGTGTAAGAAGTAGCAGACATTGGGGCTTATTTGGTTTATTTGTTTGTAGTTCAGGCTTTCAGGTGCGCTTTTACTGTGGAATGCAGGTCTCCGAATCACGATAACGCCAAGTTACCGGACCGTGCTGTTTGTGGTTTAGAGACACACACACACACACACACACACACACACACACACAGGCACGAGTAGGGATCATATTGCACTTCATACAGATATGATTTTATTATGCTTTTATTATGTTTGTAAATGAAAGGGGAATCATACCGCGGTTTTTCGCCGGCCCTTATGAAACCGCGAGGTGTGTGTGTGTCCCCCCCCCCCCCCCCCCCCCACAGGATCGTGTTGTGTGGAGGACTTGGAGAGCGCTGAGCCGCTCACACAGAGAGACTCTGTTCCTCCTCATTCCTGCTCGCTCACTCACCGTCTCCCCTGCGCTTGTTAGGCGCTACCGTTCGGGAGCCGCCTGCCAGCTCCCCAACAACTGCTGTTGTTGGAAACGTAGAAATAAGGAATACAACTGTTTATGTTTCTGTATTACAAAGAATATCGGCCGATATATCGGTGTCAGACTTTTTTAAAACTTCAAATCCCATAATCGGCATAGGCCCCAAAAATCCAGTATAGGTCGGGCTCTAATAAATAGTAAATGTATGTTTTACACATATATATATATATATATATATATATATATATATATATATATATATATATATACAGTATATATAGTGTTTACATTTGGCTCTTTGTTTGTTCCTTAGCAACAGGTGGACATATGTTATGCACAACCATCTGTAGGAGCCGCTAAAGTTTCTAAAGTAAAGACTTGAGCCGTTGCCCTTATCTTACATCGTACGTCTACATATTACATCACCATCCGTGTCTTTCAATGCCGAGTGAAACACATGAACCTTTTGTGTCTTTATTCCACTTCTGTCTGGATGAACACCAACACGTCCGCTAACACCTATAGCCGTAATGCGATGATGTAACGCTGCGGCTGATCGGACGTGACGGCTAGTCATCGACGAGCGATGTGAGACATTGCTGATTGCTGACTGACCTGGCACGCACACACACACACACACACACACACACACACACACACAGCTTCTGTATGCTAGACTGAGGGGGTCTCCCCCCTCAAGATGCCGATGTCCTGGAAACCCCCCAGACGCCCTGTTTGTAGGACGCCTGGCTTTGGGCCCCTTGATATATAATTGTGTGTGTGTGTGTGTGTGTGTGTGTGTGAAGAGCCGGGGGGGGGGGGGGGGGGGGGGGGGGGGGGTGCACTGTGCTCTCACTGTAGACCTGAATGAGTTGACAAGAGGACCCCCGCACCCTCAGCAACTCCTCTATTGTGACGGCGGCGGCTAGAAAATCGTTCACGCAGTTGCCTAGCAGCGGCTCATTGTTAGACGGGGCCCCTTCCCCCCCACCCCCCCTCGCGTACCCTAGTTTCCCCCTTTTATCACAGACCGGTGTGTCATCTCTTGGACCCAAAGTTAGCGCGTTCGTTCAATGGCTTGTTGTTGGTATCCGCGGCACACAGTTATCCTTTTTTCAGCGCATTCACATTCAGAGTGCAGAGCTAATGCAACATGACACTAATGCGACGCGACCGGTGAACGCCACATTGTGGACACCGCTCCCTTTATCCAACAGCTGTCCCGGGTTCCAGGGGAGCGGGCAGAAAAGGTGGATTAAAAAAAGATTTACTCTTCCCCCCCGAAGAAGAAAAAAAAAAAACGGCGAGCGCGTATCCGTGTCACGGTTTCGGCGGTATCATCGCCGCCGTTGCCGCCGTCCAAATAAATGGACAAACGAAACACTTGAGTGAGGTCTTATGTAATATACGCCGTCTTCGGCGGACGCTTGTATCCAAAGCGGCTCTCTAACGATACGATACCGTGAGTGCGTGCGGTTTTAGCGTGGGTGGTCCCATTGGGGGGGGGAAACGAACCCCTAACCCCGGCGATGTGAACGCCATGCTCTACCGGTTGAGCTGGTCAGGAGGGCCGCAACTTCTTCTTCTTCTTCTTCTTGACTTCTTTCTAACCCCCCCCCACCCCCACCCATCCCCTCTCAGACAGATCCACGCTAGGATTAACGCCATTTCATGTAGTTTAGGCCCATTTATGCAGCTGCCTCGGCGAGCCGATCGTGTGAGGTCTGGGAGGCATGGCGGGTGTGGGGGAGGGGAGGAGGGGGGGGGGGGCGGTTAGGGTCTGTTAGGAGACCGGCTTGAGCGGGCGGTTAGCGGTGGCGGCGGCGGCCGGAGCGGTGATGTCATGTGTGAGGAAGTGGAGACGGAGGGGGCAGCTGGAGTGGAGATGGCACAAGGAGTCCTGTGTGGAAGTCAGACATAGTCGCAGACAAAACACACACACACAAAAATACAACCACTGGCAGCGGCAGCAGCAGCCAGCGGGACTGAGGCCTCCTTCCTGTGTGTGTGTGTGTGTGTGTGTGCGTGTGTGTGTGTGTGCGTGTGCGCGTGTGCGTGTGTGTACTCTGACACGGATACTTGTCTATGCATGATCAGACAACTGTCGCATCTGACAATATTTGGGCCGTTGCATTTTGTATTTGTAATCTGTGGCCCTAAATAAATAATTCAACTGTGTGTGTGTGTGTGTGTTTGTGTCCTCTGATTTGGTGTGCGTGCGATCGCGTGCGCGTGTGTGTGTGTGTGTGTGTGAGAGAATGGCCTCTCCCCCCGCCCCTCATGTTACGTCCTGTCCGGCCGGTCGATGAATAGCGCTCCTCTATTCAGAGGACATTGCTGCCACAGACGTTTTGCATCAAAACAGCCCTTGTCAGTCAGTAACGCGGCCGTAATGGGCAGCAGCAGCGGCGGCGGCGGCGGTTACGTAACGTCCCTGAAAAACAGAAGATATGTTTGTGATGAATATCGACTGAAAAACACAAAACCAGAGTATTGAACTCAACAGATTTAAACAATCTGCCACGACTCCTGGGTTGCAGTTGTATTTGTATTGGCTTTAGCCGTCGTCAGCCATTGCTTGAGGTGTTTGTTTGCATGCTAATGGCTAATGGCTAATGGCTAGTGAGAGAGTAGAGATTCATAGTAGTAGTAGTAACTATTAAGTCCTTTTCCCCATAAGTCCCTTCCCTCCAGACTGGGGGGGGTGGAGACGAGGCGTTGACCCTTGTCGGTCGGCTGAAGAGGGAAACGGGGGCTGAAACACGTCGTCGCGGCGACGGCCAAAAGGGTTACGACGGGGAGCCGCGTTGCGATGGCAACGAGCGGCGGCCCTGGAAGCGGTGTCGTTTTTTTTGGCACACGAGGGCAGCGGGGGAGGGAGGGGGGGAGGACAGGAGGACAGGAGGGAGCGAGGTCTCTCTCTTGTCACTCCTGGTCCTGGCTGGGGTCTCACAGCGCAGCCTCCTCACAGCGTGGGTCCGGACCGTGTCAACGATGCTGGACGCGCCGGTTCTCCGCCTGCCACCGAGAGACTCGGAGCTAAATAGGCCTCTTTTTATGTTTAAGTGTGTGTGTGTGTGTGGGGGGGGGGGGGGGTGGGAGGGGGGGGGTACTACTCGCATGCCTGAATATGTAATGCGCCATTCACACGTCCGCCTGTGTGTACATATGAATACAGGGTGCATATTATGTACACATGAAACAGGATGCACACACACTTCCCTGCGACAATTGTGCATGCCTGTGTGTGTGTGTGTGTGTGTGTGAGGTTGTGTGTGTGTGTGTGTGTGTGTGTGTATCCCAGCGATGTCATGGCAAATGGTGTGGCAGACTGTCACTATAGACAGTGATACGGTTTCTCAGCTGTTGTATGCGAGCGTGGGAACGGAGACAGGTACCGTCTCCACGGTGCGTATGTGTGATACGCGCAAATACTGTATACAATGTTTTGGTGCAGCTGTCAAACGAGGGACAGTTGTTTAAGAAAGAGGTGTGTGTGCGTGCGCACGCGTGTGTGTGTATCGAATCGTTGTACTCCGCCTCGTACGAGTACTTTAAATGTAGGAGTGTGCGTCGGCAATTTGTGTATTTAGCGAATTACTGATTAGATGTGCTGCAGGAATTTATCATTTCAGAGCTGCATGTCGGTCTGGATTCAATTTACATATTTCAGCTTGTCGCCCTTGTGACCATAAGTACAGGGTTCAATGTGCAGTCGTCAACGACGACGTCACAAAAGACATAATCACCCCCCCCACCACCCGACCGTGACGCAAGTTATACAGAGCGCAACAGGTTATACGTTATGAATATGGCGCCGTCTTTAGCTATGGAGACGTCCCATCGGCTCCTTTTATGGAATCGCCTGAGCCCAGATCACACAGAGATTTGCACATAGATATATTGTTGTCAGTTTCACCCACATGTCATCAATCACCCCCCCCATAAGTCATCGTGTGTGGTAAGAGCGCCCACATGAAGTCACACTTAAAGTCAACAGATAAACAATATACAAAAGGCATCCATGTAACATGTGTGTTTGTCATTGAGGAACGAGGCATGAACATACAAATCATCGACGGTACGCAGGCCGACCGACTTGTTGTAAAAACAACAAAATAAAAGTTGGATCTGGTGTTCGGCGGTGCAGTTCTTCAGCCGGTTACATTTATCCCTGGGCGATGCCTGTCGGTGCGGGCTTAGTCGTCCTTTTAAACGAAAAAAACCGGCAACTCGTAGAGCACATCTCGCAAAGCTCAATCAAAAAACGATGTACAAACATGTTTCAACTCTTTTCCATATCCATAGGAAAACCTCATATCAATACTTATGCTTACATATGCTTACAATGCTTCTCGGTTTCCTGAGTGGGACTTCATCCATGAAGTTCATATCGTCATTCAATCTTATTCAACTTAATAATGAGCGCTCATAATACACTTTGGTCAGTCCATTGTGAGCGGTGATTTACGGTTGATAAGCTCTGTATGGGACCGGACGCTGCTGACTCACTCGGCCACTTCAAAAATCTTCGTTAGCAACGCGACACGAATGGCTTCCTCTAACTGTGTGTGTGCGTCCGCTCTCTCTCCTCTGTCCATCTGCACCGTGTGGGCCTGTGGTGATGAGTCACGGATAGGAACGATAATCCCCCCCCCCTTCTCCGCACCCCCCCCCCCCCCCCCCGCTGTTCTCCCCTCTCCCTCCCTCCCTCCCTCCCCTCTGCCTCCCCCTCCATCACTACCGTGAGCAGGTGGAGCGGGAGGAGGCGGAATCCGATCTCCTCTCCTCCGCCCTTTTCCGTCCCTGGTTTGCTCGCACGCACACACACACACACACACACACACACACACACACACACACACACACACACACACACACACACACACACACACACACACACACACACACACACGTCTACTCACACACACACACAAAAGCGAGTGCAGGTCTCTTCCGTTCGGAGAAGTGCTCTTTGTCCCTCCTGGGCTGCCCAGGTCTCTGGGCCTCAACACACACCTCTGTTCTCTGGTGGAGAACAAACAGGACACCGGATACTTTCACAGCAACTCAACCCATTTGTCCCGTTTCTCTGAAGACCCAGAGTCTACTGTTCTCTCACCGTCTTTCTTTCTTTCTTTCTTTCTTTCTTTCTTTCTTTTTCATTTTTCTCACCGTCTTTCTTTCTTTCTTTTCTCTATGCTTGTCTTTCTTTCTTTCTTTCTTTTCTCTATGCTTGTCTTTCTTTCTTTCTTTTTCTTTTTCTTTCTTTCTTTCATTTCTCTATGCTTGTCTTTCTTTCTTTCTTTCTTTTTCTTTCTCTATGCTTTTCTTTATTTATTTATTTTTCTTTCTCTATGCTTTTCTTTCTTTCTTTCTTTCCTTTCTCTATGCTTTCCTTCCTTCCTTCCTTCCTCTCTCACCCTTTCTCTCAGCCTGTGTTGCGTGTGTCCGGCGGTTCACCTGAACTGCATTGTGGTTTTTTTTGTGTGTGTGTCTCTCTCGGCATTTGTGGAGTCGACAAAAGTACAAATATAGACCGTCGACTAAAATGAAGCGTAAACAAATGTGCGTGTGACTGGAGACACAGCATCGCGTCCAAATTGAACGTCTAAGCACGTGTCGCCTTCCCAAACAAGTACAAATGAATTACATGTGTGTGTGTGTGTGTGTGTGTGTGTGTGTTGTAGGAATGAACGTGCTCGCTGGATCAGCGCCCTGGGCCAGAACAACAACAATAACAAGAACCAGGACCGCAGCAGTGAGTACACCCAGGTTTCTTATGAACCGCTGCGTTTTTCCTCTAAGCCTGTGGCGCCATCTAGTGGCGTTCAAATCCACCACACGCAGTTAAAGTGAGTTTGTTGAACAGTTTGTATGAACCTTTGCGTTGTGTTTTCTCCAGACGCCATGCAGGTGGAAGTGACCCGGACGTACACGGCCAAGCAGCCGGACGAGCTGTCCCTGCAGGTGGCCGACGTGGTGCTGGTCTCCCAGACGGTGGAGGACGGTACGGCCGCCCACACGCTCACATCCACACACTCACATCCACACATTCACATCCACACCTGCACTTCAGCACCTGGATGTCACCTCTTATGCAAGTCGCTGAGCTTGAATTGTGTTTGTTTACACCTTAACTTCGCCTGACCCAGTTGAAACTTAATCGTCAAGTTATTATACTTATTTTGCTATTTACTGTGTCGTCCTTTTAGACAAAGTGATTTGCATTACATTTATTTTGGTAGATGTCAATTAAAGAGCAGGCAGACGACTGGGACTCAAACACCCAAATATTATGATGCAATAATAAGACTACACAAAAAGCTAAGCAATGGAGAGAGAGAGAGAGAGAGAGAGAGAGAGAGAGAGAGAGAGAGAGAGAGAGAGAGAGAGAGAGAGAGAGAGAGAGAGAGAGAGAGAGACAGACAGACAGACAGACAGACAGACAGACAGACAGACAGACAGACAACTGTCTGTACTATAGAGAGAGACAGACAGTACTGTCTGTACTATAGAGAGAGAGACAGACAGACAGAGTACTGTCTGTACTATAGAGAG